TTAACCTGTGAGAGCTGGGCTCATAGCTCTGCTCCAGGTGGGGGTTTCCTGCTGGGTGTTGCTGAAGTGAGGGGTCACTGCGGGGCTAAGTGAGACCTCACACTGGACACGCGGGCCAGGCCTCGGGCCGCGGCGGCATATGGGTGTGAAGGGGGCGGTGGGGGGGGGGGGGGGAGGGGGGGGGGGGCTCGCCTTCCTGCCGCTGGGAGGTCTGAGGACCGCCACCCCCCCGCCACCTCTGCAGCCGGCTCATTAATTATGGCGGCTAAAGGATGAAGGTGTGAGCTAAACACTTATTTTAGGAGCAGAGCATGCTGACCCCAGGCTTGACCCCAGGCCTGACCCCAGACACCAGATATTTAAGGCAGAAGGCCACACCGCTGCACTGACTGGACCCTCACCATGAACGTCCGCTTCAATTTTCCCACCCTCATCCAGTCTGGGGGGGCTTTTCTGACCATTTGTGAGGTCAACTCTCACAGACTTTTCTTCTGCATCCCTTTAGATGTAAAATAAACTCCAATGTTCCTTAGTGATTTGTTGGTGTTTTTTTAATATTCAAGCCTTCCATGACCCAAACAAATCCTCCTGGATCATAATGGTCACATTTCAGGCACGAAACTAAAGCTAAAAATTAAAAAAAGAATTTAAAAAACCATATTTAGGGCTAATATTTGATTTAAACCAATTCCTAAATAAATATTTAATTCTTTTTCCTTAAGAACAGACTCATCTCTGAGGCCTTCTACTCTTAGTTTATTATACGACCACAGGAGATTTAATTTCTACTCATTTACCCCTTTCAAATCCAGCAAAAACTGAAGCTGAGAAATAATCAGCGCGGCAGAATGTCGGCTTCACATTCACATACGTTTTTTTCCTCAAATCAACCCGATGCTCTTTGGGCGGATTCGTGACAAAGACCCCCCCCTGATCTGGATCTGAACGTGGATCTCAAACTCTCAAACCGCAGAAGGAGTGGAGCCCCATTTTGGCAGCCACGCCAATTAGGGAACACTTGTTATCTGTTGTAAAGATGACAAAAAGAGGCATGAGAACTCCCTCCCGGGAGGCTTTTCTGTCATCGTGACTTATCGGCGCCGATCTATCTCCCCGTCTCCCATCTGCTGCTGTTTGTTAAAGCCGCCATGTTTGCTCCATCCATCAGCCCAGGCTCCAGAGCGCGCCGGGAACCAGGCGTATCGCTTAAACCCGTGTCCAAACACAGGCGGAACAGGAGCCCTCTGAGCTCATGAAAGCGCGTGTCAGCCTGAGGGGGTGAGAGCGGCGAGAGGCGGAGCTTACCATGGCGTCCCGTATATCCGGAATCCCTTTATGGTGACGTCCGAGTCCTGCAGGTACACACAGTTTGTGAGCAGCGACTGCACATTGTCAAAGTCCTCCGGTTTGAGCTTGGACACGGAGGGGAAGCGGTAGTAATCCTGCTTGATGAGCTCGGCCATAAAGTCCTTATCGAAGGTCAGCTCGTGGTTCCCGGCGATCACCACCTTGAACTCGTACGGGAGGCCGCCTGAAAAGAGAGCAGGTCAGAGGGTCAGACCCCACCCGGAGCGATGGGAACGCCGGCCCAAAGCCGGGCTCAGACCCACAGCCCAACCTCACACTAAATAAAAGGGATTTTCTGCTGTCCACCCCCCCGAAAAGGCTCTTATCGCTGTGTTTTAACACGTTGTGCGGCTCAGTTACACCCCCACACCGTCTGGTTATCACTCTGACATGAAAAGAAAGGAGCGGTTTGTAAAGGTAAGCCGAGATTTTAAACTGCTCTGAAGCGTTAAACCCCCCCAAAAAACAGGTCTATCCCAGATTTGAAGTCTTTAGTCTCACGGATCTTTGAGTTAGTCCCTCAGCCATAATGAAAAGTGTGAGACTCTAATGCTTGTTTAGAGGGTTTAACCCTTTATTTAATATTTAATTCCCACTCTGTGTTAAACTAATGTTTTGTTGCTCATTTGTAAGATTTTTTTTATAATTTTAAGGTTGATTTTGAGTTTTTTCTGTCTTAATGAAGTACCAAAAATTAGTAATTTGGCAATTAAAAAAAAGATATTTATATCTTTAACCAAGAAATATGGTCACATTTACAGAAAAGTGACAATTATCTCAGATTATTTCTTTAGATCACAGTCAAACACTTAAAAATAGTCGTGTTTTAAATTAATTTTTTCAGAGTAGTAAATTATTTGAATACTGCATCTTTTTTAATAACAATCTAAGCTGCATTTAATGCATTTTTGCTGCTAAACAAAGGCTTCCTGCTTTGATGGAGCAGTTCCACCCTCCAGACAGAGCAGATATCAGACCATCTTGGATGGGCTGAGTCCCTGGGTAGCCCCCCGTGTTCCTAACCCAGAGCAGGGGTCACCACCGGAAACAAAGCCAGATAATTGGAGGGGAAAACAGAGGTTTGACCCCAGCAGGCCACCGTCGGCCTCTGCTGATGTCGGGCAGCTGGCGGGAGCGTGAACCTGAGCTAAATGGAGAGGAGCACCCACTGATATTCTCCTCCCCACAAATCTCTCCTTTTTTTCTCTCCCCTCCGCCCAGGTGATTTGTCCCAGCTCTCCTCCGCTATCAGGAAACCCACGTAGCGCTTTATTCCGACCCACTGAGCACTCAACAAAAGGTTCTGGCCCTAATCACCTTCTACTGGCTCTGAGAGTGTCTTTTTTCCTTCTGCTGGACTCAGCTTGTTTCAATGGCTTCTGGAGTTTGAGCAGAACCGACCCGAATCAAAGCAGAACCCAGAGAACGGGGTTATAACAAGGCTGCATTTATCAGGTTGTTCATCTGCTAACGATTCCCTAATTGATCCATCAATCATCCATTTCAATAAAATGTCAAAAAGCAGGTGAAAGATATGAAGTTAATAAATGAGCCATTTTGTTCTACGTGTTCTTTTCTTTTGTTTAGCAAAAAAAAAGTGCTAGAATAAATTTCATCTTGCAAATGGGCCAAATTTCTCCTATTTGTCTGCACATTAATGCGTGTAAATTACAGTGTTTGTTTAGGCTGCAGTCGACAGCTGAGAAACATTTAGCCGAATATCTGCTGATATCTCTCAGTTTTTAATTTAAAAAAAAAGAAAAAGAAAAAAACAAAAAAAACAAGGAAAAATAAGCAAAGCAAATGCTAAAAGACGACTCAACGTAGTGGCTGAAATCATTTAGTGAGGCCCAGTTTATGCATTCTCATCTCACATTTTTCAGTTCATTTCAGTTTCAGTTTTTTTCTTTTTCCCTTTTTGTGTTTGGAGGGTTTTTAATACACGGCCGAGTTTATTAGCAGGAATGTCCGACATGCAGTTGACTCTAAAAACGTCTTTAATATTTATGTCAGGGATGGTATATCTATTGAAAAAAGCATTAAACCAAAGGGAAATGGTTTATATTTAGAGACCTGACCTCTCCAGTCTGCTGCGTGACATGTTGCTGCAGCCTGTAATAAAACATCCTGATGAAAGCCAAGAAAAAGGAGAAAATGTTCAATAAGGGGTCCAATAAGACGTCGATACCGAGCCCAACCGGCTGGGGCCAATGAGGAAGACGCGAACGTAAACTAATAGAAACTAAATCCGTGAGAGTATAAAGGAGATGAAAGCACGGCGGCAGAATACCGAGTGACCTCGTCCGGGTTGGGCCGCGTGCACGAGCCT